TTTTCGGTGTGATTTATAACCAGCTTTCTTCCTTTCAGTGACTTACCGATATCTAGGAGGTTTCGGTTTGGGCAGTAGTGTCATACAAACGAAGCTCTAGTGCGATTCCAGATCCAAATTGAACCAGGGGTGACTTAAACCCGGGGTGACTCAATGAGTTTCCCATCTGCGGTATAACGTCCTGATTTCCCAAATACGGCACCGAGTGATTGAAGAATACTCACAAAGAGGAGTTGTATCAGAGTCATGGAATTCGTACTTAGGAAAGCTAAGGGAGGATTGTATTACATGGAAGGGAGTGAGAGTTTTGAGAAAAAGAAATAGAGACAATTACCGCCTTTGGTGTGGTTCATTGCCCCACCGCTCCCCGAACCTCGGCCGGTGATTCCACTTGGGAAACTGGTAGTATGTGGGTTGGGAAAGATGAATCTTTTCAAGATCAAGGGGGTTATATAAGTCGCAAGTTTGAAGGGGGCTCTAATGCATAACCAATTTTCCTCAACACCACGGCGTGCCCTGTACCTAAAGCTACAATCAGATTTATTAAATTCAATCAGTTTTACTCTCTTTATCTATTACACAAATCATTCCAGGTTGCCCTGACTACTTGCTCCACAACCTTGCAATGCCCTGACAAGCACTGGTGTCATGTAGGAGAAACAAAAGAAACGACCGTTTGCTGCCCAAATGGTAAATGATTATTCCTTTGCCATTTCTTCCCCGCCGAAAGAGAAACAAAGACAGTGATTCAGTTCTGAAAGGCTGCAGTTGTCTGCTATTGCTGTTTGTACTGAAAGCAAAAGAGTTGCATCGGCCGGGAATCGAACCCGGGCCGCCCGCGTGGCAGGCGAGCATTCTACCACTGAACCACCGATGCGCATCGCCAGCGTCGATAAACAGTTTTATGATCGCTAGGGGACATTGATTTCAGTTTATATAGCTTACACTGTACAACGCGAAGACAGGAAAACTGGATCTCACCCGACTTTTCGGCGCCCGCCAATCGCCCCCGTCAAAGATCGTACCACTGAATAAAAACCCACAACGATGTGAGAAATGCGTGGCAAGTCTCCCAGGTAAGTCACCCAGCCACTTTGGATTTTCGCGGAGCCCAGCGATTGTCAGAGTTATTAAGGTCAATTAGAAGAAAACATAGACATATGTAGAAAAACTACTACAAAAACAGCAATGGTTTGTTTCATCCCTTAACCACATACAAACCATTGTAATTTCGCCAACCCTGGAATCATCAGTGTGGCGGGGTGGGCGAAACAAGGCTTACATTCAATATTAAAGAGAAGTCTATGAAGGAAACCTAATTTATCAATTGTTCTATTGACTCTCCCTTACCATTAGACGAAGGATCTCGAGCCTTGAGAAACTCTCGATCCGTGCAAATTTCAGCGCTTTAATTTCCATTCTTCTGCATTCTGATTTTTCTTCTGCATACGTTTTCCGGATTTAGAAATTTTTGGCCTGATTTCATTAGTCGTATTGCAGTTATTTCGAAATTAGAATGAATGAAAAGATACTGAAGGGTCAGAGTAACTTCTGCGGAAATGTTTGTCGTCCACACGGTGAGACAAACTGCTTTCGGGGTGAGGGTGAGCTGACCCTTCATGGGATTTGTACGAATTGCCCATCTGAGTGTTGCCAGCATAGAGAGACTCCGGAGTGTTCTGAGATAATCAAAATATTCGCTCAGTTTTCCGCTCCAGAAACAATTCGCGCAGTCAGGCCGCGTGCAGCTCTGGGGTTGGTGGCCTTTCTCCATTGCTCTTTAAATGCAGCAGGTGATATCAAAGAGGCAAGCGCACAGGTGATAGCATATAACTGGCCCGAGCGCAGGGGCAAGGCGAGGCTTTCTTGCCTCCATGGGAAGGTGAGAAGAGCCACCCAGCGGGGGCGCGCGCGCCCCGGAGAGCGCGCGGCTGGGATGGTTAAGTAGAGGGGAGAGCTGACTTGGTATGTTACATTGGCCTCGCTCCCGAAGGGAGTGAGAGGGAGGAGAGCGCATGCAAAGTAAGGTGAGAGAGAGAGGGAGAGGGTAGAATGCCCCAAGGAGAGGGTGTGGTGTAACGGCGAAACTTATGGGGTCTTGCCTTTATCACGAGAGCCAGACCTGGCAAGACGGCCGACATAGAGGGAGCTGTCGGGTGCACTAATGTGTAGAAGCGAGTTCAAACTGGAGGGATGTGGGAATGGCAGGGTTGTAGGTAATCGGTTTCGCGACTAAATAAACACGCTTTTACAGTAGTTCGCCATCTATGGTATGGCAAGCCTGCTGCGCAATCCTGGAGAGGGAAACATTCATTCGCTACCCGATGGGGCTTTTCGCCACTGCACCTTTAGCGCAAGTTGTGTCCAATTTGAATATCGTGGAATGAGAGGAAACGCACAACAATTTCAATCGCAGCCGAGCAAGCTTGCGACGGAAATGTCCGGTAGCAGTCTGTGGGCCCTTGTTTTCCCTGAAATCGTTGGTGTTATAGCTTTAGCTTTTACCATGTATTTTTGGATTCCGTCGTGGTTTAGTAGTCTCAGCTTATCTATGGTCTGGCTCGCTGCGGATGATGGGGCGTAGTCCCGCGGCTGCGTTTAGCACGCCATCAAATCCATTCCGCACTACTTCTTCAAGCGGGTAAGTGAGAACATCTGATGAAAAAAGTCTGATACGAGCTATATGACGAAGCCCTATCGCTTGCTGAAAGAAAGAAAAAATTAATTTGCCCCGTGCCAAACGCAGCCGCGCAGACACGCCCCATCATCTGCAGCGAGCCAGACTATAACGTCGTTCGCGTTCCAAGTTCAACTAAGACATTCTACAGTGTTCGTGAATCCATGCAAACTTTCCGAGCCGTACGCCGTTGACAACAAGTACTACACATGCAGTCCGTCCTCCGTTTGTCCGGCACAGCATTACTGTCACGTCGGTGTCGACACTAATTATTGCTGTCCGGTGCTGAGTAAGTTCAAATAAGGTATTTATGTTGTCTCAGGTTCTGTAATTATTGGATGGTTTCCTCTATGACCGCATCAGGTGAGTTTGTGTGCTGCTTGCCGTGCGCCTTTGCTTAATTCTTGTGCTTAACCAGTTTCGTTCGAAGATAGTGTTCACGATAATATCGATTTCACATTGTCATGGATTCACTGTCGCCTTTTCACAAAGGGCCGTCAAAGGTTAAAGGGTACGGTTACTCGATAGGTCATAGTTTAGATACAGTCGTCATGACCGAAGTCAGTTTGGGCGCGTCAGCGGAAAATGTGTTGATGCGGCGCTAGTTCATTTTCCATGGGTTGCGACTGATTCAGTGGTAGGAATGGGACTCCTTTCGAGCGTGCAATAAGTGTTGGGAAGGGATTTCGCGCTGCGTCAAAGCTCGCGTGCCGCTGCCACGCCCCGACTCAGTAGTAACGGATGTAATTGAAGATCAGCGGTTTTCCTGGGCATTCCTTGTGCTTCTATTCACTGTTATTTCACTGTGGGTGAATCGACTTTTTGTTCACTGGTTATTTCACTGTGGTATGAATCATTTGCACGGTGAACCTTCGAAACCGCGACGCCCACCCTTCTAACATCCAATATATGTTCTTCATATCTAGAGATCCAGTATTAGCATCTGTATGTCACCTTCAGCGTCATTTCAGTTGAGAAAGGTCAACCTATCAAGCGATCCTCTTTCGCCACTCCTAATCATGGGGTTATGTGAGAACAGCCAAACGAGAGAGAACGGATGGTTGGAGCGCAGCCCGCGGCAGTTGTTGATCAACGCTTCCATCCTGAGTCCCCAGCACTTGGTGGAAAAGGTTTCCTCGACTGGTTCCACTCCATTCCTTAACACGCCCTCTCGTCCACAGAGAAAATCAATTTTGCTTGAGTAAATTTTTCCTGCGAATCACCACGCACACTATTATCTCTGAGACGGGTAGGCGTGGCCATTCGAACATGGACGAATGGGTCACTATGGATATTTCATGTTTGCGACACTGTCATCTGAATCAGCATTAAACACACCATGTTCAAAACGGAGAATAAAAAGGATAAGGATAAAGTCTTCGCCGTTGATCAATCCCTTTGTGGGATGCGGCACGCATTCTACTTCCATTCAGAATCGTAGTGGGTTATTGAATGCGATGTGGCCTATACAATGACTTGCGGTGGCCAGCCGATGTACAAGTCAGTGTTTTATCCTCCCAGACGAATCTCGCGGTCATTCACCGTCCCCGGAGCGGTAAAGGCCTGGGGTTGGTTTGGGCGCGAGTCGACCCGGATTCGGACCGGTCGACCGCCGAATGGTGAGCGCCCCACTTTGTCACTACCCTCTCCGCCTCCAACCGAGGAAGATACTCACCAAAAGCACCAGCACCGCTGCTTGAGTTGGACGTGCACACGCTACCTCTTTATCTCTGGGGATCCGAAAAATACTCGATCTGTGCAGGCAATACTGGCACAATTCGGCACAGGAAAGAATCTGCCAAGAAATATCGTGAACACTGCCTTCATGCATCACCAAACGCATTAATCTAGCTGTTTTCTATTTGGCCATTAATCCTGTATCTGATTTAACTTTTGTTTAATTGTGTCACTGTGTACGTATATGGCAGAAACGGAACTGATCTACGATCTTGTTCTCTAGGCTTTATTTAGGCTATGCTCAGGCTTGCAGCTTACAGAAATCAGGTGATTGAGAGATTATAATACTATTCACGTTCACAGATGCCCGCAGTACTTACACTGAGTCCGTAGAACCCACACCCAAGTGGGGCTTGTGTACTGGCTTGTTGTACCACTAGAATAGTGAGTTTTCGCTTGCAGAACGTCGGAATAACCTTCCAGTGAAACTTAAGTAAGACCAAGAAACTTTGGGGGGAAGAGCGGGGGGCATAAGTTGACTTAGGAAGCCTCTGGACCCTGTTGCTAAGGCGACATCCTAACTTAGGTCGCTAGTGATCCCAAAAATGTCGAGTCCGAACTTGTCACTCATTCAAGGTGGTGATCCATGCAGCCAACCGATGGACCGAGGAACTGGCATGGCCCAACTGCAGCGATGGTACTGGAATGCGCAAGCGCAAATGTGTGTTCAATTCAGGTAGGTTATCTTTCTTCGCTCTCTCTTCAGGGTACAGGGTCACTGTGGGAGTCATAACGAGAGAGGGTCGCATTCGGCACACGGGGAGGGGGAGGGGGTGTATTACTAGAAAGATTCTTCCGATTGTTAACTCTTTGTATGAATACCCACAGTGTCGTAAACGGCCAAAAATTACGGAAGCAGTTGCAGTGAGACGTAGGGCGAGTCATAAACACGGTCGATACATAAGAAATCTAGGAAAGGGGGGCGTATTTATTTATCTCAATTTATTTATTTCTTTTACACCATAGGTGTGCACAATGCTACACCATAATAACTCATTTAATCTTATATTTCCACTAAACATTGAAGACAGAGGAAGGAGCATACGCTATTCATACTACTTTCCTGATAAGAGAAACAAACCTTATGAGTGACAGACTGTAACTTGTATTCCACTAAATGTTCCCAAACGCAGCGTTTCGCCCCACTTTTGCTATTTTCTGGGGCCCATCACAGTTTCCCGCATCAAGAAAGTCGCGATCACGAAAATGCAGTCGTAGGATTGCCCAGAGGGTGGATAATGTGTTGTCCAGCGGCTTACGGGCACAATTCACACCTGGGTATGGGGTCAGGCGAGGTTTCCTAGCAGCAAATAACTTTTTTTTCGCTTAGGACCCTAACCTTACCCCTGCATATATGTCAAAATAATGCACTATTCTTGTGATTTCAGCTTACTAGCGGCATGAAAGGCACTCAGAACAACTTCCTAAGCAGGCAGGATTGTGAACGAACGTGTTACGGTAAGTTGAATACCGTACTGAAGTTAGCACTTCCCGATCTACTACAGTCTTTTTTTTGATAATGAAAGTACTCAAATTCGCTCCCACCAACATTTTAACAAGTTCTCGTCATTGTCACGGGGGCGTTTCCTTTTTTAACTTATAACATAATAAAACAAGAGATCTTGAACCGTTAGTCATTATCAGTGCTTGATAATCCCGTCCGCGATGCGCTCGGTCCGCCTCAGATGGGCTTGGACAATCGTCCAGTGACGTGCTCTATTGGCATGAACACTTGTGGAGCAGGCTATTGGTGTCATTTTGGGGCCAACCAGCAACCACGTTGCTGCCCTGGGACGAGGTATGTTTTTCACTACGTTTCGATTGCGGGATATGTGGAAGTATGTATGTTTCGGGTGCCTGGGATGCTGTTCGCATGGGCGGGAAATGTCCGGTGCGGTGGGTGAGCGTGCCGGACTATCCCAAGTAACAGAGAAATAGACATGGGAAAATATTACGAGATGACCAGTGGTTTCTTTCGTCCCTGACCTCAGACGAAACGCGATTCTTTTTATGGGTGTCTAGCCGGGTTGCAGGACAGATTGGTGGGCGGAACTCGCCTTGTGGGTGGGGCAATCGTGCGTTCTGGACGGGAAGGGTTTGGGATTCTGTCAGATCACTGTTGGACTCGGCCTAACGAGCAATTTTCTTTGATTGGCTTGGAGACAGACTTTTCAGCTGACGTTAGGGTCACTTACAAAAGCGTCTAACTTTGCTGATTTGGTACGATGGGTTCATCATCGCTCTGTGAAACTGTCATGGAGTATGTTTAACCAGCGTGGACGAGCGTCTTGCGTGCGGTTTGAGAAGAAAAAGAAACGATTTGTTGAGAGGTCGTAGCAGTAGGGATGTGAAGCGGAGAGGGTGGTGGTAGCTGCTTCGGCAAGGGTCGGCTTCCACCAACTCGAATTTACTCTATAATGTGCTCTCCCATCACCCCCCCTTACTATATCCAGAGCAACTGTGGGACAGAATTTCTACATTATTTCACACAATCCCAATGCTTAATGGGCGCTTGTAACCTTGTGAGAAACTTCAGGGACTCACTTGTGCCAATACTTCTGGTCATTCGAACAGAAAAGGGTAACTCGAACTGGTTCACCAGAATGAGTTTCCCTCCCACATTTAGGTTCACACAAAGTTCTGCACCTTTATAGAGGAAATCTTACTTTCTGTACAAGGTCCTGAGAATGTCGCTTTCAAGCGCGCAAGGTTATCAGCGCGTCTGTTTTAGTGTTTATCTAGACCCCGACTAATTGCAAGTTCAGTGGAAGCGTCAGCGGCAGTTTCGTCAGAACAGACTAGGCCCTTGGACCAGGTCGTGCAGCACTTCCACGATGGAGCGCGGGCGGGTACTTACGTGACGCGACAACTTATGCGTTGGTTACAGTTCTTTACAGAGACGTTTATGGGCTCAGCAATAACTTCCTCACCCAACAGGAATGCGAACAAACGTGTCCCGGTGTGTGCATTCGACCTTATGATCAACATAACCTTATCAATAATATCACTATTAATTCGATGTTTTGACCGTTGATTTTGACCTACTTCGTTTTATTATTATCTATATCAATTTCCTTCCTTGGTGAACCTAATTAAATAACTAACACATTGTTTTTAATCAATATCCAATGCCAAGTACAAATGTCACATAGAATTTTCATTGCTGGTCAGTCCCGGAGATCAGGGCCAGTGATGTACCTGAGAATCCATTGTCCACGCTAATCTTTACTGGGGTGAGCGCGATTTGATTTCTCGACCGCCATCATGGTGCGCCCTTTCTGAAATAACGAGGGGGAGGGGCGGAGGGGTCCCACCAATGAAAGAACGCAGTATGGTAGGCCCGACTCCGCCCATATAACTGGCGTGAAGTGTGCCCTGGAACGTCACTAAACTCGGTTCCCCGTGAATGCAGTTCCCTGAGCAGAAACTACATAACTACCTGGCGGCTCTGTGCTCGCTTGAGAAATTTTCGGCCCGTCAAACAGCAATCTTCAGCCCTTAGATATTTGTCCCGTTAGATAAATTGACGGCCAATATGTAAGGTTTTTGTACGTGGATATAAGTTGAGAAAACATTTTTTGGCTCGAAGTTTGTACCAGAGAAATTCTCAGAGACGCAATCCACGTTGATCATGTGGGCGGAGGCAAGCCTGGCCTGGCCTCCGCCCATACAATAAGTGTGGAATTTGCCTTCATTCACTGTATCATGGACAAAATCTCTAAATTTTTTGACTTATATTTCAAGCCAGTCATTTGCCTTGAGAACCAATCAATTGTTCAGTATACGTCAACGTCTGCCCGGTGGGGACACCTCTGCTGGATTCAACGAATCACCCGGTTCCCTGCACATTCGGAGCTAATTCGTGCGGTGAAGGATACTGGTGTCATCTCGGCCTTGTACCGGACGAGTATCAATGTTGTCCGGGTGAACCAACAGTACCGGGCGCATGTCAAGGATTGCCAGAAGTACAAGGAGAACTCGGTGCACCAGCTCCACCAGCAACGCGGTACTACTACAGTGTGATCGAGATGGCCTGCAAGCCGTTCATTTACAATGGTCGAAAAGGGAATCAAAACAATTTCCTTACATTGGAGGATTGCGAAGAGACGTGTAATGGTGAATCAGCATGACAGCTCCAAGCTGCTTCTTCCATTCGGACTACTTTCTGATTCTATCGCGATGTGTGACGATACGGGCGGTCCACATCTAACGCTTCGTGTATTCTTGGTTTCTCTCGGCGTTTCCTCCTTCGGTTTCTTGATGTGAATGTGTGGTCTAACTATCACTTTCGTACTTACACTTCTTTTTCACTACTCTTTGTTCACAGCATATGCAGTCTCTCTTTCAAGGCATCAGTATACGTCAACGTCTGTTCGTCGTAGGGCGGAGCTACGTCTTGTCCCTTGCTCAAAACGGGACCTCGTGCTCGAGCACTGCTTCTCTTTTCCCGGAGGGCGGTTGTTGCCAGCGTTATTGGTGGAATGGCCACACACACACACACACACACACACACACACACACACACACACACACACACACACACACACACACACACACACACACACACACACACACACACACACACACACACACACACACACACACACACACACACACACACACACACACACACACACACACACACACACACACACACACACACACACACACACACACACACACACACACACACACACACACACACACACACACACACACACACACACACACACACACACACACACACACACACACACACACACACACACACACACACACACACACACACACACACACACACACACACACACACACACACACACACACACACACACACACACACACACACACACACACACACACACACACACACACACACACACACACACACAAGCGTTTGGGCTGTTTGGCTGAGAGCTCGGCTGAGAGCTCCTTCCTTCAGCCCTTCTGCCAGTACGCTGACAACAACAGCCTGCTTCCAGCAATTGTGCCACTGCCTTTAATCTGTCCCACATCACGCAAGGAGAGGAGACCAGGATAGCTGCCGAACTAAATCTCCTGAACTGCAGCGTACGATCAGTAAAATGGCCGGCCCCCGCGAAGCACCATTAGGGTCAAGGGTGAATCCGTCACTGCCTCGTGTCTTTCTCCAAGCCAATCCACTAGTTTCATTCGTGATCCAGTTGCTAAATCCGTGCAATCAGCCAGGTACTCGCTTAGCCGCCGCAGCTCTGTACATGCAGGCCGTCCAGGACACCGTGTCGCGGGAGCCGAATGGCTTGCGTAGCCATGTTGGCGCCACACCAGACACCACACTATGCTGCCCAAGTGGTAAGTGAAAGTTCAAGGAAGCGGGTCAGGAAATCCGAGTTGCGGCACGCAGTGTGTCCGCCTTTCGTACCAAGAACTAACTTACAGTCTTTCGCTACGGACCACGGGGATAGGTTTGGCCCAACGTCAGCCTATTCTCCATTGTGTGTCCGCCTGCCCGCTTCTACAGTCGGTAGAGACCACGCTGGAGTCACACACAGACACAGCCCAGCGTCCTACGACATGCTGTCATTCAAAGACTGCCGTATAAGTGAACAAAGCCTGCTAGCATAGCTATACATCTGGGGAAGTGCCCGGACCAGGCTCTTGACCCGTGACGGGCGCAACCTTCGGATTTTGCGTGGCTCTTCACACTCCATAATCGAGTGTTGAGAGGCTACTTAGCGTCTGTCCGGAAAGTTCTCAGACCGTTTTGCTGCAATCTACGTTGCTTTGTACATTCACTGGCTGATTACAAACTCATCTGCCTTTGGCTTCTCAGAGCAACATTCCTGTAGAGAATTTCTTGCGCTATCTGATGGTATAATTGCCGTTCACCATTGCTTGATTAACCCTCTTTTTTCAAGATTTCTTCAAGCATGTGAAAAGAGCACTCAGCGATTTCATCTCTTCGATTACTCTAAATTTGCGGGGCAATCCGCAATCGAAACAGCTCAACAAATTAACCAGGTGTGGGGGCCCAATAGTGCTAAAGAAAGCACTGTGCGGCAATGGCTTAATAAATTTCGTCTGGAAGATGTCACCTTAACAGGGTGAAACTCATAGTGTGCGTCGACCCTAAAGCAATATTGGTGACGAGGATGTAGGGGGGTTTAGTGAGGCTGACCATCCCAAGAAGTCGCATGGGATAGCAGAAGAGCTAGGCGTTCGCAAATCCACTGTTGCAGATGGTCTGGAACGCATTGGGAAGGTGAAAAAACTCGACAATTGGGTGCCCCACAATCGGAGTGACCGGCAGGAATCGGCACGTCTCGAGGTTCCTTCTGCATTGCTTTTGCGCAGCAGAAACGACCTGTTTTTGGGCCGAATTGTCACCTGTGATGAAAAATGGGTCATGTATGATAACAGGAGACGTTCCGGACAGTGGTTGGATTTCGACGAACCCCGAGGTAATTTTCAAAGCCGAACCCTCACGAAAAAAAGATTCTGGTCACGGCTTGGTGGTCATCGGCTGGTGTGATCCACTATAACTTTTTATCACCAGGCCAAACCATCACAGCAGAACCCTACTGTGAAGGAATCGACGAAATGTACCGAAAATTTTGTCAGCTGCAGCCAACACTTATCAAAAGAAAGTCCGATTCTTTTGCATGACAACGCCCGCCCACACGTTTCACAAATCACTATCCATAAATTGAACGAATTGGGGGTTGAAGTTCTACCTCAACCGCCATATTCTTCAGACCTTTCGCCAACCGACTATCACCTTTTCTAACATTTTCAGAACTCCCTTGCTGGAAAATACTTCATCAATCAGGACCAGGCAAAAAAGCCTTCGTGGATTTCGTGAATTTTCGACCAGTTTTTTACTTTGATGGGATTTCTCGACTGCTTTCACATTGGCAAAAGGTGTGCTGATTCGAATGGTGCCTATTTCGATTAAATCCGATGAGTATTAAAAAAGTTACGATCGTTTCAAAGTGAAACACCCAAAACGCTGAGAACTTTCCGGACACTCCTGAGGTAGCATTCCTCGGGATAGGGATTCCAACCTCGACTCCGGAGAATTTGTAGAATATAAGTCCACTGTAAGCCGACTCACTGCTATTATTTTGCAGAGGGCGATCCGTGCTCACTGCCGCTGAGTCCGGGAACTGGCAATCAATTCCTAGACCGATGGTACTTCAACCAACAGACAGGATCCTGTCAGCCATTCATGTACGGTGGTCTTCATGGAAATCAGAACAACTTCCTTACAAGAGAGGTGAGCTTAATTCAAATCTGCGATAGATCTCGCCTAGGCTAGGGTTTTTGAACTTCGAGCATCACAAATTACTTCAGGCTTGTGAGGAGCGATGTGGACCTAATCCATGTTTCGAGGGCCGACCATTCGTCGGTGTTGACGGCCGTCCCCAAACCTGCTCCATCTCTGCGAATCTGAACACCTGCCCAGCAAATTATTGGTGTCATATTGGAGCTGATATGAGCACTACTGTTTGTTGTCCAGGAGGTAATTTTACGCGACTCAGAATCAAACCACGATAGTCAATGAGAGGCTGCACAGACCAAAGAAAAGACAATATCTAGCGCTCAGTGATCCCCTTGGGTAGCCCACGTATACAGATGCACCTATGAAAGTCGGGGAAGAGCAAACCTACCCCAATTCATTTTCGACCACTAAAGGCAGAACCCGCGATTATTCGCCATCTCAGATAGTGGATTAGGGGGTTCCATATAGACGACAAGGGGTTGAGTAACTCGACAGTGAAGAAAAAAAAGCACAAAAAACATGCCACCTGCCCTAGATAGAACCCCATTTCGATCCCAGTTTGTACGAACTCTATCTCCCACACTACGCCCTCATATGCACAGCTGATTCACCGATAAGAACTCTACGATCGTACAAGTGACGATTTTCATGCTTTTTCGTCCTGCAATCTCGTTTTTCACTGAAAGCCGGGCATTGGAGGCGGAGTCTGGAGGCGGAGTCACTGGAAAAAAGGAGGAACCACTGAACCTATATTGCGCTATAGCGCCCCTCCCTTAGAATTTTTTGCCGCGAAACCGGTACAAGGTTGTTCGTCGCGGACCACTCTAACCTCCTGACGCCATATTTTCAACTTCGATACCTGTGGACCGTGCCTTTAAATGGAGTAGTCCAGTTTTTTTTATGAATGAGAAGCAGTTTAAAACGCAACAACACAGAAAAAGCTCAAAGCACCTTGCCGATATAATGGAATGGGGGAGAAAACGGACGGAAACTCGTGACCATTAAGCCCTCCTCGTTGGTACACACATCCTCTCACGGTAAAGAGGAAGGGCGTATCAAAGAAGACGGCGAAGTTTACGTCTACGAGCGCCCAAATTACTGTCTAACCGATGCTGAAACCTGCATCTCAGTCAGATGTTCACATTACGTTCACATTCAGTGAAACACACAGTCCATATCTCAGCGCTGAAGCCTTGTATGCTACAGTTGATATCGCTGCATACGTCGCTTACAGTCGAGGCTGTTCAGAGGGCGTGGAGGAGCCCATCGGCTACGTTTCGGACCATCCGCAGCGTTTCCTATCACTACTTGTTCTCTTTCTGATTTGATCACTGTCTGACCATCATTGGTGGGAAACGTAGCCGGGGGCGCTTCCATCCAGTCCCACCTGAATTCGGCCTTTGCGCCCTTTGCAAACTTGCAGATCAGAAGCACGTATACGTGCCTATCGATCGGGGACGAGAGCCGAACCATGTACTCTTGATAAGATTGCTGTAACTTTGAGAAAACTCATATTTTCCAGCTTCCATTAATGTCTGCAACTTGCCGATGTCCACTGGTGAAGGGAACTACAACTTGGAACGATACTACTTTGATCAGTCATCAAAAACTTGCCGTCCGTTCATCTACAACGGTCTCAAAGGAAATCAAAACAACTTCATCACTTTGGTTAGTGAGCATTCCTTGATCAGCCAGTTCTCTGTACAAGTAATCACGCTCGCGATCGCTTTGCTCTCAAGCTTGAGATAAAGTGGAGGCTCCATGCTCTGAAACAATACTGGAAACTGAGAAGAAAGGAGGAACTCAGGAATGTTCTCCATTGTCCTCCTACTTTCTTTGTTTTTCTGTCTACCATAGAAGTCCATAGTCTGTCTTCTGTCCCCATAGAAAAGGGTTCAGCCCCTGTACTTATCTGCCATGGCCTCTTAATACCAGCCACAGAGTGAGCACGAAAAGCTGAGACCTTGAATGAGCATTCTGATGGTAGACGTGAAGGTTTTTCCGTCATTTGTTCGGGTGTCGGTAATTCTGTAGCTCTTGAATCCTATCCTGTTAGAGACCATATCGGCAGATAAAAAGAAACGTTTCCAAGTATAGTAGATATCGTTGCAATAAGAAGGGCCATATCTGAAGGGTTGGAGGCAGCTTGACTTTGGCTGACTTTTTCACCAACGGGTGGATTTGGGAAGACAAGCCCACTGGTGGGCTCATTCTATGCCTTCTGACACCGCCCCGACTGATTGCCAAAATATCAACTGTATTTACTTACGGTGACAGTTGCGTATTCCCATGTTGGCTCTCCTCTCTTACTTTTTTTTACTTTCCTTTTCCAGTGTATGAACCCTCGTGGCTGTCATCACGCTCCCTGGCGCTTCTTATTTTTCCAACATCCCCCTCCCAATATAGATCGTACCCTTCATTTGCATCCATAACTGTTATCTAGAAAATCTTACAGATGGTACCAGAGAGCGAATTAAATCTATATATGTTCACTAATCTCAATCACTATTTTGAAATGCACTTTCGCTGTTTTCAGAGGGCTTGTCAGCTTTCTTGCCAACCTCTGGACAATCCTTGTATCGGTCAGCCTGCTACCACTGCAGCTGGGCAGGTATGCTAGTTATTCAGAATCAGTCCTGTCTCTTTACCACGAGCACTTGCTAAAAATGTTCAGGTGCTATTCTGCTCATCTACCAACAAAGACGCTTGCCCAGTGAACTTCTGGTGTCATCTTGGTGCAACACCCGAAACAACAGTATGCTGCCCTGGAGGTTATTACATTCTTCTTAGGGGTGTTGTGAGCAACAACAAGCATGAAAAAAACTCGTGTATTTTAGCGACAAATCCCTGCTCGGTTCCACTGGCTCCCGGCACAGGGAACGCAGGACTGTCTCGGTGGTACTACAATCCAGATGACAGGGTTTGTTGATCAGTTCGCTTTACGTTCTCCCGTTCTCTTCTAGTACCCACGTGCTTACTTTTACTTGGGGTTCTATCCATTTGACAGGACTTGAAGCCAGCTCCCGCGATCGCCTTTCGCAGATTGCGGGACTCAGAATCAATAGATGCGGTAAAAGAAATGCACCTGGAGGAAAAAGTAAAAGAAAGCGTCGAAAACGCCCCAAGTAAGGTCTGAGTGACGGCATGTCCTTCGCCCATCACGTTTGAGCGGACGTTTCGTACAGGAGTCCGCACGAGGAAGGTCGTGTTGGAGTCCCCGAGAAGACAAAGATATTTTACTTAGGTCTATGCCAAGCAATAAAGCAGAGTCCAAAGGAAGGAATAGGAGTTTGCTGCCGTATCCTAGGTCTTGGGTGAGTTAACACTCTACCTATCCCCCAGGCAGACTTTTTTCTGAAAATGTAAAGTGCTGATGTATAGGCGTCTTCCCTGCAGTTGCTGAGGGGTATTAGGGGGCCTTGGATTTGGCGCGGTGCCAGTCTTTTCACAATTCTTGTGCTTTTCCTCTCCAGGGCAACCGGCGGAGATCGGGGCTGCGGTCGCCGTGCCTAAACAAGTTCTTCCGGTTGCACGCCGAAACGACTGTTAGCAAGCCTTATCGCGGTTGGAGTTCTCGGTTGCAGGGCAGTCAAAACTGAGCGCACTAAAACGACGAAATCTGCCGCCCAAAACTGACCGTGGAAAGCGCCTTTCGTTTCGAACCCCTGTTTTACTGACTCAGATCCCTGCTTACAGGAGTTGATCAAAAAAAGTCAACTTCGACCGATCACTATCAGCGAAGTTTTCGCAGCCCGAGAGAAAGACGTTGGATTACGCAGTACCAGGGCGGAAGCATACTCAAGATTTCCGCGATAAGCTACGCTGGCCCTACGCCCATCCACCTATCATTGTACACCAATATGAGCGTTCTCCAGTCGCAGCCTGACTGGAGAAGACCTTTGGAATTCATGTCACCTCCAAACAGCTGCGAAACTTCTAGTGTGGAGTCACCCATGGGTAGCTACCTGGAGACCAGTACTCTCAATCTGGAAGACCTCCAACATCGAGCAGCTCCGACAACGTCGCTACGGTCTAGGACATCATCTTCACGGCAGTCGCCAAGGCGCGGGTTGATGGTACGGACGTACCTGGAATGGAAAGACCAATATTTTGCTTCGAGCGACCCTGGGCTAAAGTGAGCCGCCAGCTTCAAGAAGAATATCTTCTCCACATGTCGTCGCCCGTACCTTCTTGGAAACTTTGTACTGCTACAGCATTGGGTGCCACCACGTGGAATCGAAGGGCGTTGGAGAAACTCTCGCCTACCTGGAATGGAAGGGGGCTGAGTACCTAAAGAAGATGGAATATCTAAGTAGGTCACCTGACCTGAATCCCTCAATTACCGGTTCGAGCGGAGTTCAATAGGTGGTCTACAGGTAGCCAGAGAATCGACCATCTCGCTGATAATCAGGCGACCCAGTCACGGCTTGCGTGCAGAATCTCCGATGGCGCTCCTCCAGAAGGCTTTGTGGGCGGGGTTTCATAAATTAGTATCAATATTTGCTCTTTAACTATGGTGGTAGAAATGTTCGATCAGAGTTTATAAAGTGTAACTTATAGCGCCTCGAAGTCAATGAGCAAAGTGACTTTTTTTGCCCCCCCCCCTGTAACGTGTCCCGATTCCGCGCAATATAAACATGCTTGGAACGAGTAGCTCGAATCAGCCAATGTCTCCCGTTCCATAGTAATGCGCAAAGCGAGGTAATCAGAACAATTTTGAGACGCAAAAGCAAGATGTGAGCGGAACTTGTCCAGCGTAGTTCAAACTCAAAATTAGCTTTCATGCGTCTGATGTTGTACAAAATCGTTGGTCGGCGTATGTGAACTTCACTAACTTTCCTATGCATGCTTGGCTTCCTCTCCTCTTTGCACTCCTTTGCCTTCGGGACGGTCGGTTCACCTCTCGCCGATCGCGCCGACTCGGTAGAGGTTTCAGTATTTGTGAATCCATGCCTGGGTGACGTACGTCGTGACGAGAGCGGAGCTCCCGTAGTGTGCAATCCGATGGGCATCGAATGCTCGGGTACGGATTGTTCTTCTGTCTTCCTGGTGATCCTGCCATGAAGAATTCCAGCTATTGCTGCCCACGACTTAACCGTGAGTGATCATTTTTTGCCGAGTGTAAAGGCTATTCTCTTAAGGATATTCTTCAGAGGACCCATGTGACTCGTCGTGGAGCGAAGGAGAAGGTGACGACTCCCTTAGCCGATTCTACTATAACCCAGTAGAAGGCGACTGCTACCCGTTCAAGTACAAAGGCCGAAAAGGAAATGAAAACAACTTTCTCACGAAGAAACTGTGTCAAGAGAAATGTCAACCAAGTAGGCATACCTTTTTATAAGAGCCTATTCCACGCTGATCTTACGGGCGGGGTCAAGTGAACGGCTGCGCTCTCCTCAGTGATACTTCCCTCGTCACACAATGAGGGACCATCAGTGGGAAGGGCTTCGTGCCCAAGGAAGACCATTCATACGATTAGGGTAGAATGGGTTTATAATGCCTCGGATGCTTGCATTCCTGGTAAACCGCTCATGTTTAAGTTTCAACGGTCTGTTTTGGTGGCGAACTTCCACTTTCATCGCCTAGTGGACGAGTTGTTCAGTGTCACAACGAGCCCTGTCCTGATAGCTATTACTGTCATGTGGGCAAAGATGACAAGTCTACTGTATGTTGCGAGAAGAAAGGTGACCTCTCCTATATTTTCTTTTAACACTCACACAATAGAAACTCCAAGTTATGGAAAGGAAGAGTTTTTGGTACACTTCCCTGTAATCCGTGTCCCAAAAACGGTACAATTCTTGAGAGCTTCTGAAGAATTTCTTTAATTAGCATTCAGCGCCAGATCTGCACGCATCAACATAGGAAAGGCAGGACTGATTGACTAAACCCTTCTCCTTACCCACTTTGCTGGGCGAGAAGAAAGACGGCCTTCACTGCATTCCCAGGCAGCGCTCCTATGGTCCGAAAACCAGTACCTGAGGGGGCTAGGGAAATAGTGAAAGATGAGATTTGAAAATGGCCGGTATTCTAGCAGAATATCCCCTGGTCATTTGTCTCGGGATACTGTAGCACATTTGTTCAAAACAGCCGGGTCTTGGAGTGAATGTCGCGTACGCGACGGCAGTCGCTATCCTCCACGTTGCTACAAAGTGGATGTCTTAAAGTGAACCCAAAAAGCAGATATGGTTCATACATCATACGAACCTTTAGCTTCCTAGAATCCATTGCCCTGCAACAGCAATCTCGGAAAAGCTCTTGGAAACTAGGCTTTCCCCTAAGCGTGGATGGATTCACATAGGAAGGACAATGGTCACCCAAGCGCCTGACTGCTTTTTCGAAGTCCTCTTCTGCTCTATGGGTTAATTTTTGAATGGACATCGATGCCGAGGTGCGCAGATGGGAACTACGCAATTCCTTACCATCCTACACCCGCAGCCGTCCTCTTGCAAGGCCCACGTGATCGTATTTCCACTAGGGAATGGATGGCGGGTCAAAGTGACAGTTTGAAATGATCAGAAATCAGTTGAGTTTGGGTACGTCCCCAGTCTGTCAGATAATGGCATTTGTGCTGAAGGTGAGAGTACGTCTTGAAGACAAGACTCGTGATTAAGTATTATGAGTAGTCGTGCTCAGTTATGAACCTGTATCTCCAAATGACTCCATAGTGAAAAAACAGACAAAAAAAGCCGTCAAGGGATTGAATAGGGATCCCCTTAACAGTCGTGCAGTCTTGTAGTATGAATTCCCAGGCGTTCTCGCAAATGGACACTGTGAACCCCTTGGGCAACCCCCACAATTTGTTTCTTCGCATCATTCAGCGGTCAACGCCACTGAACAGAATAAAAAATGTACTGGAACAAAAATTAGCAGAAAATCACCTGTATCACCTGAACGTCTCCATTCGTCCCTGCAACGTGCAAGAGTTGCCCAATGAACTCTCTCTGCTCGAGGGACACGATGAACTTCATACCATTCGTTCAGAGCTTTCACGAAGAAGTCTGACCATCGCATAGGCGGTCGTCCAGGCGTTCGCTTGACATCCCGTGGAATCCAGTCGGTGACGCTCTGGTCCAGCGGTCGTCCTCGAAACGCATGACGTGTCCGGCCCACCTGATCTTCGAAACCTTGGCAAATGCGTCTCTGATCTTCGATCGGCGGAGTGCGGAGCTCCGGATTCCCA